CGGGGAATCCAACAGTTGTGGGTTGTGAATCTCATAGGCAGATCTCACAAAGAAAAGTCTACTACATACATCAAACAGAGCAGCAGGACCAGATAAATGGCTTGTTTGGTCTGGTAGGTCATATATCATTGAGGCTTTCGTGACAGTATGATTCATCTCTCTACTATAAAACAAAATTTTATAAAGGAAAAATAAACAAAAATTGTAAGGGAGTGAGAAGGTTGAGTTGTATGAGTGTGCATGTGTGCTGGTCCTGGGGCTTGAATTCAGGTCCTGGATGCTGTCCCTGAGGTTTTTGGTTTTTCTTTTTCCTTTTTACTCAAGGCTAATGCTCTACCACCGACTTCTAGATTTTTGGTAGTTAATTAGCGGCAAGACTTTCCTGCCTGGGCTGGCTTCAAACCATGAACTTCAGAGCTTCTTGAGTAGCACAGATTAAAAGTTAGTTTTGAGAAATCATAGACTAATTTTGTGTTTTTGAATGCCCTTAAACACATTCAATTGTGAATTGTCACAATATGGTTTTATTTAGCTACAGAGATGTTTCTTTATTCCAATCTTCTAACTTGTTTCTGATTGTCACCATTTGTTGCATTATCAAGTCTTCTTTTTCTTTGAAGAAAAGTAGCAAAAGTAGCAAAGTAAAAAAAATCCTGAAGATGATTATTCCATGCAAAGATTCACACTTGTCACACAAACTCTGCCATGCATGTATTGAACATATCCAACAACATCTTTGTTCTACGACAATGCCACCAAATTGTCTGAATTAGAGCTTAGTATTTAAAAGAAATTACTCAGACTAATTTAGCCAATTAGTTATAATAATTGTCCTCAAAACACTACCAGAAAACTGAATCCTGAAGAATAAAACTTCATTAAAATGTAGGTAAGTTATTGATAAGTTATCGATATAATTCTGTTTTAAAAACCTTAAAAGTATGTTGTACATCAAGCAGTATAAATTCTGCTATTGTAATTGATCTGAATTTCAAGACTTATAATTCTCAAGGCTTTTGTAATTATTTCTAAAGTGTGAACATTTTCTTTCACTTAAGGGACCAGAAACATATCATTTTCAAAGAAGATTTTTATGTGATACTGCATCTTAAACACTTAAAATGTACATAGGATTCTGGGGCCATATTATTTTTAACTGATAAATGTTTTTGACCAGTTCTTATTAGCATCCATTTAATAGACTATGCATAAAATCTAATTCCTTTTCAAAATGATACACATCACACGAAATCTAACAAAACAATTCTCTCTCTCAATTCCTTTGGTTCAACAACACAGAATGGGTTCAAGCAACCACAAGGAAAAGCTATGTTTTCTTTCAAATATAAAATAACTCTTGTAGACAATTCTTTAAAAAATTTTATATTAAAAATTTTATATTAAATTTTTTATATTGAGTTCTTTTTTGTAAGTTAATGAAGGACACATCAAAGCAGTATTTACTTTTAAAATCCTATTAGCAAAATTGTCCATATTTGATGTAGTAAAATAATAAGACTAACATATAATGAGACTATTTGCTTGACCTACTGTTATTTCTGGTTGACCACTACTGATAGACTGAAATATACTGAACATTTTAAACAATTATTGTCTGCTTTTAAGTTTAAATGCTGACTTGTTTCTTATTTTCTGCTGAGTGAACTTTATTGGCCCCTATTAGCAAAATCAGAGTCTATAACCAATGGAAGTCAGTGGAGAGAGAGGAGATGGAGAGTGAAGGGGAAGAGAAGGGAGAAGGAGAGAGAGAGAAGAGACCAAGACTGAGAGGTTTTTTTCCCTCCCAGAGTTTCTACTCTGTTCAATGGTCCAGTGACAGATCTACTGGGGAATGCAACTCAGTAAGAAAAGAGAGTTAATATTAATGTTTCAACTAGCTTAAGATTTAGCTTTTCTGGGAAGAGACTATAAAATGGTGCATAAACAGTTCTTGCCTTCTGAAAAGAGACTTAAGGAACTTTCTTTACCTACCAGTCTGACTAGCCAGCTATCAGATTATGACAAATCTGTTTGCCAAATATATACAGCAGGAATTTGCCATGGCCAAATTTGTTGGAAGGAAATAAAATACTTGTACTTTTTTTGTGGAGGGGGATTAGGAGATAACATTTTGACTAAATAAATGATGATAATCTACTACAAACAATAGCAGATAGTAGTTCTGGCCTCTTACACAAGTCTTTTCCTGCCTTAATTTACTCATGAAAACTTTAATTACCACTGGGCCCTAGTACAATTTAGTCAAAATTATGTGTGCCCTTCAAAAAAAATGACATTGCTTAAAACAAGAAAAAACAATAAAACAGTGCTCATTAACTTGAGTACAAGTAAGTCAAATTTCTCCTTTTGGTGATGACTGCACCAGAGAAGGCAAAAGCAGTCAGGTAATACTAGGTATAGCCAAAAGAGGGCATCATTTACCCTTAAAGTCTGATGAAGAGCACCCTCCCCCCTCCCGTGGTGGTGGTCAAAACAGAAAACCCCAACCCCTAAACCAGGTGAAGAAGCAACTTAGGCCCCTGGCATATCATACTCTTTAAAGAGATCAAAAACATGATGAGGTCAACCCCAGATTGGCTCTTCACGGCATTCTACACTTTTACTCCCTTCAATGTTAGCCATGAGAAGCACATATTCAATGCTCACCCTATTACTTTTCAACGACACTCCAAGCTTAGTATTTTGTAAGGCACTGAAAACATTGATCCCGAGACCAGGGTATAAGTTGTTATCAAGAAGCTGGAGAATAATATGATGATTCATTTGAAAATGATGTCTTAACTTCAAGGTGTTATCTCTCTATTTTCGAAATAAGGAACAGTGGAGGGAGGGAGGGAGGTGATAGCAAGCTCTCCTGAGACAGAAGGATGAAGTTAAAATGCATCTGAGGCATGTGGGAAATAGGTTAAAGTAGAATTTCAGGCTTTTCGCAACAGAAGTCCAACAAATATGTATTCTTTCAAGTGAGGTGGTATGGTGTGTGTGTGTATGTGTGTGTGTGTGTGTGTAGAAGCACTCTGACACTAACCATAAATTGACATATTCTTAAATACATTTCATAATAATGTACGATTTAAATAGTGGGCAACTGTCTTTATGGGGGGGTGTTATCACTCTTGTAAATGGTGAATTTCTTCAGGATGGTAGGAAAAGACAGACTAGCCTCTTAAGAGAAATTGCAAAACTGGCCTCAGAAACTCACTACACCGGAGAACACATTATCCTTGCCTCCTGGGTCTTAGTAGTTAAGCCATGGAAGTAAGGATGCATGCTCTGCTTTGGGACAGGAGAAGAAAATGTGGATTCAGAAAGAAGGATCATTTTGGAGAGCAGATTTCCATCCCTGGAAAAATATCATTACCACCAGCAATGAGTGCAACTGAGGAGAAACATGGTGGGGAAAACCAATTTTAAGTTCTATCCCTATGGAGAAAAGCAACCAACACAGACCCAGGTAGATGAAGAAAGAGGTGATTGATCATACACACCCATTCTAAATTCTAGCGAGACCCTCCCTTTCTTTACATGCAGGGTGAAAGCCAGTCTTTTCGGGTTTCTTTTAAAGTTTGCTCTTCCTTACTATTGCCAGAAAGAGAGGGGGGGGGAGAGGGAGGGAGAAAGACAGAACAGCTACCTAAGTAGGAAATATTATTGTGAAAGCCTCTTTAGGTTTCTTTCCTCCAGAAAAACAATTAAATAGAAGAAAACTCAAGTTCCCAAACTTCCCCTCGCACTCCTGCCAAGGTACACCAGAGAGGCCGAAATTGGGAATAAATGTGTTTGGGATGGGCTCACCGCAGTGTTCTTGAACAAAAACCCAAATGTTACACTTCAGGGTCAAGAGCTCTCCCCCCCCCCCCGCCCCCTCCAGGTCAGTCTGGACTCTGATCTTTTGGCCAAGAGAAGAACCAAGCCTCATCAGATTGTAACTGTTGAGTTGAGGGGGTAGTTACCTGGGTGCCCCACCACCACCCCTCCCCCCCACCAGAACAAGGTTGCTACCGGGTAACCTCATCCATCCAACCAACCACCTGTCACTTTTCGGCTCTGGCTTCTCAGAGACAAAGTTATGAGTCTGTGCCTGTGGGATTTTGGAGTCGCAGTAGGGAAAGGAAAGAAAGGGCAGGAGGATCCCTAAGAGATGATAGAGAGCGTCAGGTCCTCCCCTTGGATGTAGGCGCTGCTGTTTACCCGCACGGCCGCCTCCAGCCCCCTCCCCTGGCCTCCCCCCTTCCCCGCACCCCTCCGGGAGAGGGAGGGGGGAGATGGTTAAAGATTACTCTGGGGCCGCCGGCACTTCAAAGGGCGGCTCGGGCAGCCAAAGGTAAAGATAACGTTCTGGCAGCTCTAATCGCCGATTGCGGTTGCCACATTTTAATCACTTTGTTGAAGAAGAAGGAAAAAAAAGAGACGAAGTAAAGAAAGAAAGAAAAAAGGTTACATTATGCTACCGTGCTAGGGATGCGGACTAAGCAAGTCCCTTGGGGACAAGTTGGATTTCTCTCTCCTGGGGTGGGGGGCCGGGGGGCGGACTTCACCGCTCATCTCTTGGTGGTGGAATTCCAAATGGAGGTTAGGCCGGAGCCAGACAGGTAGCCTGGCCTTGTGTGCCAGGGCACCTGGGCACCAATACCCACGCTGCACACCCATGAATGCCTCCTCTCGGGAGGCTCGGCCTCGCCAGCGTGCCCGGGCGCCCCCGGACCGCTGCGCGGCGGCGCCCCGGCTCCCCCCACCCCCGGCCCGCGGGGTGCACTTGAAGCGGTTTCTCCACCCTCGGAGACACGTGCGTTGTTCTGGAGGCCCAAAGGCGTCTAATTAGGATGCCCCGGGCGAGCTCGCCCGCCCTTCCCAGAGCAGGAAGGCGCCCAGAAGCCCCCACCCCTCGCATTCCACCGCCCCCCCGCCCCCAGCCTTGCCGGGCTCGGGTTCCCTTTGCTCTTGAAGTCCCCCAACGGGGCGAGGTGGGGCGCACTTACAGGTAGGAGGTGAAGACGCTGAGGTTGGTGGGCAGCTCCGAGAGCCCCACGTCGGAGCAATCCACCCTGAGCAGCATCCTGCCGTCGGGTTCGCACTGACAGTGCGCGGGGCAGCCCCTCAGCGGCGCGCCCGACCAGGGCGAGCCGCCCCCGGCCGCCAGCTGCAGCAGCACGGGCAGGGTCAGGAGCGCGCCGACGCGGGAGGTGTTCATGAGTGCCCGGTGGCGGGGATCCGCGAGTCAGACGCCGGCAGAGGGCAGAGCCCCAGGGCTGCGGCCGCTGATCGGGGCGCGCCAGGCGGGCTGGGGATGGGGGGGGGGTCCGGGGAGGGGGGGGCTCTCCGCGGGCTTCCGCAACTCAGCGGGCGACCGGCAGCCGTGCGCGCCGCGCTCGAGGCGTCCCCGCCCGGGGCGCGGAGAAGAGGGTGTGCGGGGACTGCGGAGCCCGTTCGCAGCCACGCCGGCCTCCGAAGCCCCCCTCGCTGCTGCGGGCGGTCGGAGCGGTGTGGAGCAGCATCTCCGCTCGCACGCTCCGTGTTTTAAAGCGCTCCAAGCGCAAATTGCGCGCCCAGTGACGTCAGCGCAGCCTAGCTTTCCCAAGCACACCCCCCCCCTCCCGCCTCCTCTCCATCCCCACTCCTTCAGCCCGGGCCCCACTTTCCCTCCTCCTGGTCCCCTCCCTTCCTCCCCCCCCCCTCCGACCCGGCTGTGAGGCTGCGGGTGCCGCGAGATGCTGGCGAGTCCTCCACTCCCTGCGCCCCTTCCAGTGCTCCGCGTCACGCGCCAGGCTGGGGACCCCCGCATCCTCACCCACCCTCACCTCGTCCTGCCTACTGGAGATTCAGATCTGAGAGCCCAAGGGGAATCTGCTTCAGAACGAGACAGGCAGTTTCTCTACCTAGGGACCCAAGGACGAGCCAAGCTTGTCCTGAGCTTGCAGCTCTTGGAATAATGGGAGGTTGCGCGGGCGCTTCAAAAGCCAATCAACGAATAAAGGATTAACATCGATTTCCGAAAAGTAGTTAACAGTATCAGTCCTCCCAGACCCTTCGTTGGCCTTTTTGATCCTTACTGTCACAGCACTGGCTGGCTGGCGTTGGGCATAAAAATCAAAGCCTTGGACTTCTTGCCAAATAAATACAGCTCAGTAAGCACCCCAGCGTGGCTTCCTCACTCATCCTGGGTGGGGAAGTTGACATGATGATTTAAAAAAAAAAGTGTTTTAGAATCCCATGAAAGTCATCTTTGGAGACTTTTGTTTTGGGGACTTTTCATCCTAAGGGTCCCAGGATTCTCTAGTCAAGGAGAGACCCCCACCCAGGTAAGCACCTCTGTGTCCCAGCACACTCCACGAGGGATAGTGAACAAATGGAGGTTCTTAACACACTTAAAAAAAAAGTCCTACAGAGAATCTGCAGGAGAAAGAAGGCAAAGCTAGATTTCACGGTTTTCTTTTTGGAAAGAAGACCTCTGAGATAAAGAAGTAGTTCCTACACTGCCCAAGAAAGGGCAAAATTTGACACCATGCTCCCTTGCTTCTGGAAGCCTTCTGATTTTTGAGGTCTCTCTCTTCCTTGTCTTCTTAGCTTGTTCACTTACATTTCCTACGTATATTTTAAATGTTTTATTAGGAAGATTTTTATGTGCCTCTTTCATTTTTGGAGTGACACACATCCTTCCCACTTGCCTCCAAACCTGCCTGATTGCTCATCGATGAAACTTAAATATATATATATATATATATATATATATTCTTTATCTAACTTTGTATTTTTGAACATGTTCTTTTCCTAGGCAAGTCCAGTTCTTGGTAAGTTTGTGTTTCTCTTCTGTAGAACAGAGTGGGATGCTAGACTCCATCCTTTTCTATCCATCTCATTTTGCAGTTAAATCAACTGTAGTTCTGGATTGGAGAGAACTTAGTAGTGACATCGAAAACATCCCATTGCTACCCTTTACTGTTGTCACATTAATTTGGTTTCTCTTAGCTATTCTTTCCATAACGCTAGAATGCCTACTTACTGGTTTTCTTCTTGCCATGAAAAGATTCACCCCTTGATTATTTTGTAAATTGAACTCAAGATTTACCCTTATCCACTTACCCACACATACTGATAGAGCTGGGTCTAGGAAGCCACAGTCCTAGAGAGAGAATTTACCTAATCCCCAAAATATTCCATCTCACTGAAAGTATGTTATAAACCCACAAGGTTGAGCCCTAGATATGCCCTGAATACATATTTGTTGTTGTTTCTCCTACTTTAATTGTGATCTCTTTGGAGGAAGGGACAAGACCACTTAGCCCCTCTTTACTGGTAGGACTCAAAGCTATGGACTCATAACAGCGAGCACTTAACAAATATTTATTGTGTAATTGGTTCATTACCATAGGCATCCAGGTATAACTGTGCCCATTATCTATTTTAAAACATGGAGCAACACTTCCTTTGATGTCAAGGGTGTTCAAAGCATGCTAACACTTTGGTTGTGGAATGAAACCAGGCAGAACCATATTTAGATCTAGATTCTGTTTGATCACAGACACAGAAAGAAACTTAGTTACTGTCTTTCTCTATCTCTGTCCCTGTCTCTCTCTCCAGGGGAGTATTACTTACAAAGTGTTATAAATGCTACAATGTCTGGAACTTGGCCTAAAGTCGATTTTCAACCTGTTAGGGCCTTTTCCTTCTTTTGGTGGAACTGAAGCTTGTTAACAAATGCTAGAAAAGCAGTGAGATTTCTGATTCAGTTAAATAGGAAAGACAGATAATGCTGGATGAGGCCAGGGGTAATGAACATCTGTTACTTTTTTTTTTCTTTGAACATACCCAGCATCTCCCCCTCACCCCTCCCAGTTTGGTAAGCTAACACCATAGTTTTCCCTTGGGAAATGACTTCTCAAACCTTAGGGTTGTCAATCACACCACCTCTTTGTCCTGAGGTAGGAACATATAAAGGTCTATCTGGAAGATCACGATGGGTCCTGGGAGGTGAGGGGCTTCTCCTATAAGCTAAGGAGTTGTAAGGACAAAATGCAGGAGCTAATGCTGCCTTCTGTTCTTGCCTTAGTGAGAGCATTGGGAATGGAAAGAAGGAAAGGTAAAGAAGAGAAAGGAAGAGAAGGAAAATCCCAAGGTCTTCCTTTAGACTCCCAGATCTAAAGCCACTTGTGTTCCATCCCCTCTCAACGGAATGAACAACTCTATTTTGTTTCCTTTTGTTGTTTGAGCCAGTGAGTGTGTGTGTGAGAGAGTTGAGGTATGGTCACTTATGATTAAGCATGCTCAGTAAAGACTGAAAGCACAGAAAACATGAAAGGACCTGTGAATCTTCAGGGTCTTGGAACAAAACAAAACAAAAATCACATGGTTTGAAAATAAGGATGGTACAGCTGATGGTAATTTTATTGCTTGTATGGATAATGTGTTAGCCACTTGACCTTAGATAATAAGGTCAAAAATATAGCAAACTCAATGATTAATTTGCACACTAAAACAAAACAACCAAACAGTATCAGTAAGGCAGTGATCATTCTGTTGTGTAGAAAATACAACCGAATATGTTACTTTTCCTGATATGAATGATCACCAGCATGGAGAGATCCTATACACAGTCACATGTTCTTACATGGTCCTCAGAAGAGATGTATGTGATCCCTTTCCCCACGTTTAATGGTGGCCACCAAGTTAGGGAGAAGTCTGTAACATTGTCACTTCAGTCTTTTTATTGATTGATTGATTGATTTTGTGGTGGTGGTTGTGGTGGTGGTGGGGCTTGAACTCTGGGCCTGGGCGCTGTCCCTGAGCTCTTCAGCACAAGGCTAGTGTTCTATCACTTTAGCCACAGTGCCACTTCTGGTTTTCTGAGTGGTTTATTGGAGAGTCTTACAGACTTTCCTACCCTAGCTGGCTTTGAACTGCGATCCTCAGATCTCAGCCTCCTGAGTAGCTAGGATTACAGGCATGAGCCACTGGCACCTAGAAGTCTTTTGATTTTTAAATCTTGTATGCTTTTCCAAATCATTTGGGAATATTAGCCACATTTAAACTAGATAAAATATTTCCTTCCTTCCTTCCTTCTTTCCTTCTTTCTCTTTCTTTCTTTCTTTCTTTCTTTCTTTCTTTCTTTCTTCCTTTCTTGCTTTCTCCCAGGGCTTGAACTCCAGGCCTGGGAGCTGTTCCTGGGATCCTTTTGTTCAAGTATATTACACGACCAATTGAGCCATAGCACCACTTTTTTGTGTGATAATTTGGAGATAGGAATCTCACGGACTTTCCTTTCTGGGCTGGCTTCAAACCGTGATCCTCAGATCTCAGCCTCCTGAGTAGCTAAGATTACAAGAGTGAGCCACTAGTGCCCAGCAAAAATCTAGATTTTCTTTTAATGAGAAAAGATTCAAATAATTTTTATAAGTAGAACTAGTTGGAATAGAGAACAATAGTTTTCTTTTTAATATTTTTTTTATTTTTTTCTGAACTTCAAAAAATTGTTCAAGGCAGATACAATTTAACATGTCTACCCAAGTGTTAAGTGCTCCCTGCTTATAGTTACCCCTCCCATCATTCTTCCTCATCCTGTCTGTATATAGCAAACGTTCCTTTCTCCCTAAAATATATTTATTTCTGGTTTCCCTAAACAGCAAGTTATACACAGGGATGTATATTATCAAGATGTCAGAAGAAAACACTACTCACTCTACCATGTGTTAATAAAAATTAATGTGGTAAAGGTAGATACAGCTAGCATTTTGTTTGTGTTTAATGTAGAAATTAGTAAAACATCTCAGTATTTCAGTAATAAATTGTGTCATGTCAGAATGGAAGTCGCTCTTTATAGGTCCTTGCATTGCCAATTCATAAAGTTGATTCTGCTGAAGTGTAGTCTCATACTTGTCTGCATTCTGGGCTTGGTAAGTGGATGTTTTCCTAATTCTTTAATCTTTGATAGAAGCCCACAACGGAAAGCATTCACATACACCACAAGAATTGCTAATAAGCTTAGTTGAAGCATGCCAGGCTAATTTTAGTTAACAGGTAAGTCAATATTTCTTTTACAAGAATAGTGAAATAGTGTTTACACAACTGGTGGGCTATTATGGACTTATTTAACTTGCTTGAAAGAGTATAGAACCCATTATTTGCCCTGCTCATTTTACATTCATGATATAATCAGGCTTATGGTGAATTTCTTAACTTCCTTTCACTAACAAAGTGTAATTAATTGAGAGGGGAGGAAGAGGATTTAGGAATAAAGATGTATTTTCTTTCAGAATTATTTTGTGAGAAAGCATTAAGTCAGCTA